TAATAAAGGTGATGGTTATTATTATTAATATTTAAAATCGAAAAGAACCCGTTTCCTCGTATATTAACTATATTAATATTAGTCGATATTAATTAGGTTAAATATGAGAAGTTATGTTGAAGTATCTTCTACATGGCGACAACATCTTGTAAGACCTGTTTTTTTATACATTACCTAAAATACATAAATCTAAAGTAGAACTTGTTCCTGGCTGTCCTATAGTTGCTGGTAATCAGTCCTTAACAGAACCTCTTGCTAGATTTGACTAAATTAGTGTTRAACAAGAATTACTTCAAATTTGAAAATTCCTTCTACCTTCAGTGCCAAGGAGTGAGTATGGGAAGTGCATGTGCACCTAATTACGCCAATTTATTTATGGGTAAATTTGAAAATTATGTGTATCTGAATAATCCCTTTGGGTCTAAACTGAAATGTTGGTTTCGATACATAGATGACATATTTTTTTGTTTTTTTCTGGCACTGAAGAGGAATTACATGAGTTTAAATGCCTTCTCTCTTTTTAGATGTATTGGTTAGTAAATCAGATCTTCTTAAGACTACTGTTTATAGAAAACCTACTGATAGGAACACACTTTTTACATTACAGTAGTTATCAACCTTCTAGCCTAAAGAAGAGTCTTCCTTATAGTCAGCTCTTGAGAATCAGAAGGATTTTTAATACAGAGGAAGTGTCTGCTATGCAAGCTAGAGATCTATGTAAAAGATTGAGACAGAGGTTATGATGACCAACTACTAAAAAAATGTTATGAGGAAGTTAAAAGTCTGAACAGAGATGTAGTATTATAGTATTAGCCCCTAAACCTCCTAATAAGGACTCAAACATTGTATTGGCAACTACATTTTCTCCGCTTTCTAAGGAAATTACAAAATGTGTCATTAAACACTGGCACATTTTATCTAGTGACGCTACTATAGGCCACAGTTTTGCGAGGCCTCCCATTTTTGCCAATAAAAGGGCCAAGAATTTTGGGGATTTCTTAGTTAGAGCAGACTGTTATACCCCTCTTCCTCAYCTCTTGCCTCAATTGTCTGCTGGTAATTTTCCTTGTTTAAGTTGTGCTCAGTGTAGTGCTATGATTAACGGTAATGTGATTTTATATCCTCGCATAGGTAAAAAAAAAAATCTATTTCACACAGAATTATTTGCCAGACAAAATATGTTGTGTATTTATTGAAAAATGTCCTTGTGGCCTGGCCTATAGAGGTAAAACTACAAGAGAATTTAAAATCAGGTTTTCAGAACATAAAAGCAAAATTCTTACTAAAGATGAGAGATCTCCTGTTGCCAGACATTTTATGACAGCTGGTCATGTTTGCTCCAAGAAATTTCAAGGCATAGAAGATGTTCCTCCTCTCAAAAGAGGAAGTGATAGAGATAAACTTCTGCTACAAAGGGAAGCATTCTGGATCCACTCTTTAAAGACTGTTAACCCTAAAGGACTTAATGAAGAACTGGCGTTGAACTGCTTTCTGTGATTTTTGTCAGTTTTGTAAAACCATTTTTTGTAACTTTTCTGTGATTTCATGTATTCCTATATTTATATTATATTTATATTATATATTTATTGAAGTCTACTTGTTGTGCATGTTAGTCACAGATGTTTCTTTTTTTGGGCTAATTACCAAACATGTTTGTGATTGGGTTAGGTGTTTTTTTTTTTTTACCTCTTTACATAATTTTTTTATACACTGTATTGATCCCCTGGTGGGGAAATTAGGTCTGCATTTTAGCCATTGCACATGTGAACACACATGTGGAGCAGTGGGCTGCCAATAGCCTATATGCCACGGACACCTGGTCCAGCACTTGATGCCACTCCCAACACTTCCGGCTCGCGGTCAACACAGTGTTAGCGTAAGATTTTTTTCACCCGACAACGACTCTTAATGATCTCCACAGTACTGAATTAGCATATTMCATTTTTCACGTTGAGCTGTGACACTTATATTGTTGGAAAGAGTAGAGTCTGGCCTTTAAATTGATGGGCTACTTGCATGGTTTGGATCGTTTTACCCGACGTTAGTGAACTGAAAACGTAATGATCATCAGGCGGAGGTTCTGCTGCTCTCAGTGCGTGCGGGGGG